GGAAAACTCGCGCGGGTTTCGTTTGATAGTGATCGATCGCTTCTATTCGTCGGTTGCACTGGCGCTCCAACTTCTTTCAATGTCTCTCTACGTTATTGGGACCATTGTGACGAACCGTGTCGGTTATGACGGTCAAGTGATCGAGAAACGGAAGAGTCGCCCGAGGGCAATTGAGCGAGGCAGCTTCGCGTTTACCCGTTGCGTCGCGGTGCCCACCATGGTTGCGTGCCACTGGTGGGACCGCAAACCCGTACACTACCTAGCAATGGGTGTGTCTATGGCTGAAGGCCAATTGTATCGCAATGTGAGACAGGTGGGACAAATTACGGTAAAGTGCCCGAAGCTTGTGTCAGACTACCAGCGATGGATGGGGGGAGTTGGTGTGCATGATCAACTCCGCCTCCAGTCCAACTCAATTCGAACCGTGTTTCGGTTTCGCAAGTATTACAAGTCATTATTTTTGGGACTCGTCGATATGGCTGTGGTGAACGCTTTCATTACGCACAAGGAGGCATGTAGAATGAAAGGAACCGCGCCAATGTCTCGGGGGCCTGGATGAATACGCTTCACAAGGAATTGCTGCAACTCAAGCTTGACGATTTCATTGTCGAAACTAGCATTACTCGTTTGCCTGCAGGTCGTTCCAGTGCCAAACGCCGCCGGCAGATATTGCATGAAGACAAGCAATTTGGCGATTGGGTGACGGTTTCAGGCGTCCAGAAGCGCAGACAGCGCGCATGCAAAGTGTGTGCGCTCCTCCGAAGTGACCGCAGGAAGTCCTACCAGGCAACATTTTTCTGTGTAGACTGCTCAAACGGCGAAGCGAAGTGCTTCTTATGCCCGAAGCAACGGCATGAATACAATGGAGTGGTCAAGACCTGCTTTCAGATCTGGCATGAAGATTTTGATGGGGGAGTCTCTCGGCAAACTTGTTGTACTGCGCCGTCCGAAGAAGGTGGGTTGGCGCAAGAAGACACGGCGCGAGCTTCTTCAGGACGGTAACGCTGCTGACAATGAAGAAGTTGATTAGTTCGTGACCATAGTCATGTGGCTCAGATAGTGTGGGAAGATATCCATGCGTTTCAGTTGATCGTCTACGCGATTCACGCCGTGCTGTTCATTCTTTATTTTATGCCAAAATCTCTCTAATCTTCCATCGGTCGACTTTGTCCAACTTTTCGGGACTGCCTTTTTACTAAGCGTCGTAAGTTTCGTGATAGACTTCCCCAGCAGTAATCGTACGTCGTCAGTCTTATGACATTGACCGATAAAACATCTCAGACATTATACCCCAAACCCGGTGTATCCAGTCCCCATACAAACACTAGCATATTTTTTTCGTCGTAAGTTACGACGACAAGTTAGCTGTTCAGGGGCCAGATTTCCGGTAACAGAGGGGTTAATGCTCATTCAAAGAAGTGTTTGTTTAAAATTTTGAAAAACGTCATCATTTCACACTGTTTTGTTAATGGAAAACACCAAAAGTGCATTCTTAAGAAAATTAATATCGGCGTAAGCCAGGTGGGGGTTGTTACAAAAGTGGACGACGACGAGCCTAAATTCGAGCTGCACCGATCAGCCAGGTATCTGAAGGACCGACAGTGAAGATACGCTGGCCGGTCCGAAATAGGAGGTCTTGTCACCGCCTATCATCAACACTCCCCATGGCTGTGCTGAGAACATGGTGCCAAAAGGTGAGGCCCAAACCAAGATCTCAGAATGAATCGACAGCGTAGGTGCACAACCTGGATCAAACAGGGAGTGCTTGGCACTGACCATCGTCAGCATTCATAACGAATACGCTGGGGGCATGCTACCAAATCCGAAAAGTAAGAACAAGACTTCGAGCGCGAATAAGGATGGACCCC